GTTGTGTAATCTGAGAGTTGATTGGCATTTCTTTTAAAGGCTGCTGTTGTCTCTGACTCTAAAGCAAGAGATTGATTGATTGATTCATTTATTTGCCAAAGATTTGCTGCAAGTCTACTGTGGGCCATGATTGCTGTTTTCTCTTTACCCAGCTATAGGCAAAAAAATAAGGAGTCATACAGAACAGCAAAATTAGTTTTTATTTTGTGTTGGTTGGATCTGTCATATCCGTTTCCATTTGATATTTTTCTTTCTTTCTTAAAACATTTATTGAGTGCTTTTTCTGGGTTAGGTACTTCCACAACACTACTACCCCACAACAGTAGGTTGGCTTTTTCCAAGGATGAAACTAAGGCTGAAATGGTGGTTATTTATCCAGGGTCACACTCTAGTGACAACAAACCCAGCTGTTTTGACTACCAAAGTCCATTCTCTTTTCACTGCACCACATGCCCCTATTCAGGGGACTAGTTTAGTGTCAATTTCTTGTGTGTTTTATGTTCCTTATGGACTAGGACAAACAGGTTTCTAAAGCAGAAAGTACTAGAGCTGCTAACAGTTGACTTGAGTTAAAGGAACCTCAGGAAACCGATCTATAGTAAACACAGAAACCAGTTACGGCGAGATGATTTCTCAGTCTCATGGTGGTAGTATCATGTCATAGAAAGAACTTCAGGCTTAGACTGACGGGCAGCCTTTGAGTCCCATCTCCACTATTTTGTAACTTTGATCTTTGGCAGTTTGCTAAGCAAGCCACTGCACTTTGGCATCCTCACTTGTAGAAATGAGGAATGGTATCACCCACCCGGAGGAGTTTTGTGAAGGTTAAAAAGATAATGAAATGTTAAGTTCCTGGTACAGAGTAGGCACATAGATAATAGTAACTATTGTATAGTTTAGATGATCGTTTGGTGAGGAAGTTGTAGGAGGAATTGTTCATGGTTTCCAGAAACCCCACAATGCTGTAATCTTGGTGCCTCCTAAGAAGTTATTTGTGAGATTTATGTCTCACTTTGCCTTTTGAGTCCATTCTGGCCCACTTATGCAGCTTTATTTAAAGGAAGTGGCTGAATTCCCTTGTGTACAGGGTTTTTCCGGCTGTGCATCTTTGTGTTTTTTGGTGTGTTTACTGGAATTCTCAGGTTTCTAAGTAATTTCAGTCTGAGACAAGTGAGTAGAATTGATGTCAGGCTGCTTTAACACAGGTGTTATAAACAAGATTAAGAGGTTGTTGAAAAGATATCAGTGGAGCTCTGAGGCTAGCTCTCTGAAGTCATTCTAAATTGACAGCTAATGGGTAGTTTGCCTTGATGGCTCTCTTTGAGTTGGTTGTAACTGACTGGAGATTCACCCACAGAGGAAACTTGATTATGAAAATTCACTTTACATTCCTTTATCAGAAAGTAAAGCTACAGTAATATGTAGTACTGTCTGTGTAATGTTTTTGGATACATTTTTTAAAGGCAACCAGTTTTTAAGTATTTTTGATACCTTAAGCCTGCCAAGCTTCAAAGAACACTTTAAATAGAGAAGATGGATCAAAATAATTATTTTATTGCACTATGTATTTATTTATTTTATGTATAAGACACTTACTTTCTTAGTTATATTACCCGTGGTAGAGTTTCTTCCTGCCCAGCAAGTATGCATTTTGCCTATTTGGTCCACTAGATGTGCTTGCTAGGAAATTGAGTATCTTAAAATGTTCTTGAAGTGAGCAAGTATTAATTTAAGATCACTTTGAAATCAGCCTTATAGGCTCCCTGAGAGAAAATTGTGACGGTGCGGATAGAGCTGGTAAGGAGAATTCGTAGGTGGCCAAGATGCATTTGCCCAGCCTGCCAGAGAATTCCTTTTGGTCATCCACATGGCCAGGCGGGCAGGGTTCTCTTTGTTGTTTTCCAGGTGGGGAAGTATTTCTGACACTGGATTGTCTTACCTAAGAATAACTCATTTACTGTCCTTGTCTTTATTGGGAATGGAGGTATTTTGCTAACTTTAGTGGTTTGTAAAGCTTCTAGAAATAGTAAAACCTTTGAGTTGAGGAAAATAAAGTGCATCTTACACAAAAGCAGACGTGAAACCATATCTTTTCGTTGTCTTTGATGGACCCATCAGCAGGCATGTATTGAGGCCACAACACCAGATACATCATTCAAGCTGAGAGGGATAGGTAAATCAGCGCTCAAGTGCTGGAAAGTGTATTATATAATCTTGCTACATTTTAGACTCTAAAGTATTGCCCATAATGTTGAAAAATATTCTTCTTTAACAAGATACTCAAAGGAAAGTTCCATGTGCATTCTATCTTCCTTGAAATAAATGTGGCAGCTATTGAATAACAGACTTATAAGTTTTAAGCTTTTGAAGAAACAGTGGCAATGTCTAAGGTCCTAAGGCTTCTGAGACCAAAACCATATAAGAAGTCTTAAGGAATGAATGAGGAGGTGTTTGTAGGTGAATAAAATGGTTCGTTTCTCACACATGATCTGGTTCTCACTCATTCAGTCCCGGATCATTCATTCCCCACTTCCTACTTGCTCAAAACATCTTTTCTCTTTTTTTCCTGTCTCTGCTCCTTTCCCCCCAGCCATTCCTGTTTGAAAAAGTGTCTTGGCAGTGACCTCAGAGACAATTTGTAGAAAAATAATGAAATATTTCTTTGCCCCACTTCAGTCTTAATAAAATCATGCATTGCTAGAGGCAGTATTCCACTGGCTGGAGACTTCTCTGTTAACAACTATGTCTTTTAACTTGCAGAACCATTGTGTGAGTTTGCTGGTTGCAGAATGCACACTCCACCCTCCTCTCTTAGAAACTTATAAAATATCTAGCATTTGTGTCATCCTAAATAGTAAATTTGTTGTATCTGAGTCTTGGTTTAAACTTACAAATAATTTTAAATAGCTTTCCCATATTAATTTGTTATTTAATGTTTAAAGGTTCAGAGTGGACTGGTATCTATGGTAGGTGACCCAGTGCTCAGTGTGGGTTCTTCCAAGTGATGCGGGGGAGGAATTCTTACTGAAATCTCCATTTAGACAGATGATACTAGTCTCTTCCGGGTAACAAAATTGCAGATAGGCAAGGAACAACTGCAGAAAGAACTCACCTGACTAAAAGCATGGGCAGAAAAGCAGCAAAGGGATTTTAGTGTTGGCTGAAAGATGATGGTAGCAGGGAGAGCTGATGCCACGTATGCGTTGAAGATGAGCATTTCTGAGGTCTCGGCTGAGGAAGGGAGAATGGGGGTTGTGTAATACTGCTCCTGCTTAGTTGAGAGTTAGATTCCATGCCCAGTTCTACAGCTTCAGGCTCAAGTATTGTCACTAATTTGAGTCTCAGTTTACTCATCTGTAAATTACAGGGTTAGACTAATATTCTTTGTCTGAATCTGAGTTTTACTATACTTAGCCTCTGAATATCACTTGATGCCACCATTAGAAAATTTACCAGATTATAGAGATAGCCCTGTGTAGTATAAAGTAAGTAAACATGTAGATGCAGAAGAGATGTTTTCTGCTTGGAGAATTCTGCGTAATGGCCCAAGGAACTTGGATGAATTCTGCTTGACTGCAGTCACCCCAGTAGCCCAAGGAACTTGGAGAATTTGCTTATATTTGCTAATAGTAAATTATTCCTGGTGAGTTCATTGGTTTAACTTGGCCTCTCCGCTCGAATTGTGCCACCTTCCTTGATCTCCAGTCCGATACACATACCCCATCCATAATCCCTTTTTTCTCTATGCATACTCAGCCACAGCACTAACCAGAAGGTTCAGTAATCCTCCATTGACTTGTCAATGTTGTGGTTGGTTCTCAGAAGATTGAAAGCGCCTTGAAGAAAAGAACATGCCTGTTTTGTTCTTTGTTTCCTAAGCCTTGTACTCCTGGCATGGAGCTGTGTAGGTGCTTAGTAAGGGTGCTCTGTAAGCTCAATGAAGACAGTTCCTTTCTCATCTCCCCTTCATGTTCACAAGGGCCCATATAAATGACACTCACTGGTTATCAAGTGGGATTTGTCTTACTCTTTTTTTTTGAGACAGAGTTGCACTCTTGTTGCTTAGGCAGGAGTGCAGTGGCACAATCTCAGCTCACCACAACCTCTGCCTCCTGGGCTCCAGTGATTCTCCTGCCTCAGCCTTCTGAGTAGCTGGGATTATAGGCCTGTGCCACCACATCCAGCTTTTGTATTTTTAGTAGAGATGGGGTTTCTCTATGTTGGTCAGGCTGGTCTCAAACTCCTGACCTCAGGTGATCCGCCCATCTCAGCCTCCCAAAGTGGTGGTGGGATTACAGGCGTGAGCCACTGAGCCCAGCCTGTCTTACTTTTAAATGTAATAACCTTAGAAATGTTAGAAGATATTTCATTTTATATGAAATGAGATATAATCTGTAGACAGAAAGATTTTGTTTTGTTTTGTTTTGTTTTTATCCTGTATTTGTTCATTGCTGGTATTATACAACTTGTTTTTCTTCTTTTTCTTTTTACTTTCTTTTCTTTCTTTCTTTCTTTCTTTTTTTTTTTTTTTTTTGAGGCAGGGTCTTGCTCTGTTGCCCAGGCTAGAGTACAGTGGCATAATCTTGGTTCACTGCTGGGCTCAGGCAGTCCTTCCATGTCAGCCTGCTGAGTAGCTAGCTGGGACTACAGGTATATGTGTGTACCACTGTGCCTTGCTAACTTTTTTTTAAATTTATTTTTTGTAGACATAAGATCTCACTGTTTCCCAGGCTGGTCTTGAACTCCTGGGCTGAAGCAATCCCCTTGTTTTGGCCTCCCAAAGTGTTAAGATTACTGGTGTGAGCCACCATGCATGGCCTATACAACTTAAAAACGTTTTCAACAGGATGGATAAAATAAATTATTTTAAATTTTAAAAAAGGTGGTGGTAAATTATTGCTTTGAAAAACAAAAAAATAGTTTTCATTTAAGTTGGGTTAAGGCTCAGACATTGAATACAAGAATCTTAGTGTTCTCGAGTCCATCCAGGTGAGCCTGTGGACAGCAGCTTGACATATAATTTGGACTCTGTTGGGACACTTTCAGTGAATGTGTCTTTTTCTGTCTTTTTCACTTTAGTGGGTATATGTATATGCTATTATATATGGAGCCAAAAATCTGTCTCTCATTGATTTAGCAGCATAGGTTAAGTGCCTGCTATGAACAAGGTACTCTTGGGTGCCAAGATATTTGTTAGGAGCAAGGGTCATATCCTAGGATCCCAACTCTTGAAGACCTAGCTCATACTTAGTAGAGGAAATAGACACTTATTAATACATATATTGTGTGCTGGCAGAGATCTGACACACTGCTGAGGAAGCTCACAAGTCTTACTGGAGTATGTTGAGGACTCTCAAGGTAGGTGACATTTGAGCAGGGTCTCAAGACTGAGTTGGACTTCTCTAGCTTCAGTGAAGGGGGATGGAAGGTGATCTGCCATTTTTTATAGCACTGTTTGCATTTACTCTCTTCCAAGGCATCCGTTTAAATAACTGATGATGATTCACTCTTGGGTCCCTCCTTGCATCTTCTTGGATTCCTTTGTTGATTTTTCCTGTAGCAAGATTTCCAGACCCTCTGCTATCCTGCTCATACATTCTCCAGTTTGTAATGTCTCCTTTAACGCACAGAAGCTAACTCACTGCTGACGAGCTAGGCTGAATTGGTTTTATGCTTCTGAAAGTGCACCCTTAATATGCATTCGCTTTAAAAATAATTAAAGCTGGTCATCCTGTTGACTCATTGAATAACTCTGTGAGAGATCTAGTTGACTTTAAGGTGCCCTGTGAGCATTGTAAATCCTTAATCAACAGTAACAACAATAAAGAAGCACAGCCAGTTGGGCGTGACTTGGTCTGCCTGATCCCTGTTAGCTTCTGGTGGTACCCCCCAACCTCTTTTCTCTTCCGGGTGTGCATAATCATCCCATTTTGCCAAATTTACTTTAGCTCTTTAAGAAATAAAACACTTATTTATAAATAAAGTCTCTTTTGCACCCTTCCCTAATCTCATTTCATTGAATAGCCCTCCTTAATCCAGTTTCTCTTTTAGCCTCCTTTAGAAGCAATCACTATCCTGAATTTGGTGATTATCCTCATGTATTTTTTTCTTATGGTTACTATTTATGCATGCATCCATGGATCATTTAACTTTGTTTCTTATTGTCCAGTGATCATTCTTTAAATAACTCCTTGTGTATATGTGTGAGCATTTCTCCAATGTCTAAGTCCTTAGGAGAAGAACTGCTGGGCTAGTTGTAGAATATATGCATCAGTGGTATTAGGCCTCACCAATTCACTTGTGCTCATTTATACTCTTCTGTCAGCAAGTATTAACAGTTCTTGTTTCCCCATATCCTCACCAACACTTGGTATTACCAGATTTTTAATTTTTTCATTTTTGTCAATGCAATGATAAATAATTTTTTTTTTTTTTTTTAAGCTAGGGTTTCACTGTGTTGGTCAGGCTGGTCTTGAACTCCTGACTTCAGGTGGTCCACCCGCCTTGGCCTCCAAAGTGCTTGGATTACAGGCGTGAGCCACCACGCCCAGCCTAAATAATGGTTTTAATGTGCATTTCCCTGATTTCTAATGAGGTTGGGCTACTCAGTATTTTTTCTTCTATGATCATCTACTTATGTTTTTTGTCAAAAGCTGGCTTTAAGTAATTTTTTTTTTTTTTTAACTTTTTTTTTATTTGAAATGGAGTTTCGCTCTTGTTGCCCAGGCTGGAGTGCAATGGTGCGATCTCGGCTCACCGCAACCTCCGCCTCCTGGGTTCAGGCAATTCTCCTGCCTCAGCCTCCTGAGTAGCTGGGATTACAGGCATGCACCACCATGCCCAGCTGATTTTTTGTATTTTTAGTAGAGACGGGGTTTCACCATGTTGATCAGGATGGTCTCGATCTCTTGACCGCTTTAAGTAACCTTTAAAGTCTAGCCAGGCATGGTGGCTCGTGCCTGTAATCCCAGCACTTTGGAAGCTAAGGTGGGTGTATCATTTGAGGTCAGGAGTTTGAGACAGCCAGGCCAACATGGTGAAACCCCATCTCTACTAAAAATACAAAAATTAGCCAGGTGTGGTGGTGCACGCCTGTAGTCCCTGCTAAGGGAGGCTGAGGCAGGAGAATTGCTTGAACTGGGAGGTGGAGGTTGCAGTGAGCCAAGATTGCACCACTGCACTCCTCCTGAGAGACAGGGCAAGACTCTGTCTCAAAATAAATAAATAAATAAAGTCTGTCCTATATACAGGGCTTTGCAGTTTGCAATCATTAAGAGAAATTGAATTCTGTGCTTTCTTTTCAAAGTCTTGTATTTTTGTTTAATTTAATCTTCCTGTCCTTTAGCTTACTAAAGTTAGTGCTGTGAGATATCAAAGCGAGGACTGAGCATTTTTATAAATGCAGCATTGATAAGTCTAATGACTTATCCAAACTCACGTGGCTCTTAAGTGATTTACCACTAGAACCCAGATTTTTCTGATTATTGGTTTGCTGTTGTTTGCATTGTACCACAATACTTCTTTTAGATCAGTGCTGTCTTGTTGTTAAATTGATGTCCAATAGTCCCTCCAGCACCTAATAGAGTGATGTTCAGGTTCTTTTAGCTCAGTAAATACTTCCTTAATGAATGAATGGATGCTGATGGTTCTGGTGTAGCTGACAAAACATATTCATAAGTGTGCTAAAATGGAGATAATTTGCCTTCCAATAACTTTACAAGTAATCTGCTTATGTTAGTTTTGATAAAGAAACTGAATCAACATTCAGCTTTCTGATGTAGCTGTAGAGTCAATCAGAGCAGATGTCAAAGTAAATCATGGACATTAAAGTATAGTTTGTACTTCTAAAAAAATCTGTACATCCTTTGGCGGTGAGATGAATATATATTCAGGCTTTAACAAGGAATAACAATTTTTTGGTAAGAAAAATGGATTAAGTAGTCTTCATGACTAGTGATTTAAATCATAAATCACATCCATCTTAGCTGTCAGCCAATCAGATTACAGGTCATAAGTGAGGCTGTTTGTAATTTTGATTTTTGATACATTGATATTTTCGCCTTCATTGTGAGCGTTGATAAAGACCATATTCTCCAGTAATTACTGTGGTCTTGTAGCCTGTAATTTTTTTTAATTGGGAATAAATGGTGGTTTTGTTTCATATTTTGCAAAGACTCTGCTTTGGGATTTTGAGGAGCTCTTGATACCTATTTTTTCCTCCAGAAAAAAAGGTAGTAGGTGGACATAATTCATTGTTCTTTTTTTGAAGCTAGTCTTGCAAATTTGCAGAGGTGTAATATATATTTATATGTGACTATCTGGAATTTTCACTTAGACATTTCCTAAAAATACAATAACACCTTTCATTGGTATAGCGATTTATAGTTTACCTAGGGCACCTTTATAAGGTGTATTGTTTAATCATCACAACAACGCGTTGTGCTGGGTGGAATTTTCTGTCTCTGATTACTTGGATCTCTAATTATGGACTTTGGCTGATGATAGTTGCAGCATTAGAGATTGTGAGCTTTTTCGTTTGTGGTGCCTTAAGCAAATTTGCAAGGGAGCCCTGATGTTAACTTTGGCGGGCTTCATGCCTGCAAATATTGATTGAGCCAGAAGTCTTAGTTGTAAAATGTCACCAGTGAATGTGCAGCCAGTAAAGGCAAGGGAAAACTCATTACTGCATCTCATCTGTAACTTCTGGGTCAGGCCACTCACTACCATCTGGTAGAAATGAATGTTTGAAAACTCCCTTTCATTCTGACAAAAGGTAATCAGAAGAGGTTAACAGCAGATGATTTCTGAGTATTTCAAATGGGTTAGACCAATCCATCCACAAGCTTGGATTTGCAACATTCATATGTCTAATTATTCCAAGAGGCATTAGAAAGCTTTAAAATTATGAAATTCCAAAATAATAGTAGGAAGAAATGTAATTATATATATACCCCCCTCCTCTCCTCTGTTGCCCCCTGTCCAACCTTCTTATTGAAAGTATTTATTCTGAAAAGGTAAAGGCAATTGGAAAGGAAGAAATAAGTCAGATTGCTATCTTGAAAAATGTATTTTTTTTTTTTTTTTAATGTGAGCAAGACTTGACATGTTTTACATTTCCTTAAGGAGAAGGATTAAGAACCACGGAAGGAGAGTGTAAGTTGAAAGGTTTCTCCTCAATTAAATGAACTTTCTGAGTGATTCAAAGGCAGTGGGGGCACAGTTTAGGGAGGACTGGAGGTGTTAGGAAAGCCCTGGCTTATGCCTGGCCAGAGATATGTTAAAAAGGACTCAAACCTAAGATAGATGATTGAGTGAGATCAAGGGTGCCTGAAGCCTGAACTGTCTCTAGAGCCTCAGAATTACTGTAAGAAGTTGTGGATCCAGATGTACACAAGCATTTTCTGGGAAATGGATACATAATCTCTCTCCCCCCTTTCTTTTTTGTCAATGTGGATATTAAAAACACAAATTCGCCGGGTGCGGTGGCTCACGCCTGTAATCCCAACACTTTGGGAGGCCGAGGTAGGCTGATCATTTGAGGTCAGGCATTGGTGAAACCCTGTCCCTACCAGAAATACAGAAATGAGCTGGGTGTGCTGGCACATGCCTGTAGTCCCAGCTACTCAGGAGGTTGAGCCAGGAGAATTGCTGGAACCCGGGAGATGGAGAATTCGGTGAGCCAAGATCGCACCACTGCATTCCAAACCTGGGGGACAGAGCAAGGCTCCATCTGAAAAAAAGAAAAGAAAAGAAGCATAGGTCTTTATGTACATACATACATATATGCATAAATGTCTCTGTGAAAGTGGTTATTGTACCCAGTTTATAGACAGAGAAAACTGAAGCACAGAGGGAGTAACTTACTTTCCAGGGCTGCTGAGTACAGGTGCCAGGTTTTGAACTTAGGAAAGATTGACTTCAAAACTCATTCTCCGTACAGGATATCACCATTGCAAACAGGTTAGGCTTCACTAGCTCTAGCAATAATGGATTGAAAGCAAAGCCTTTTTCTGTTGATGGTGGTTTCTAGTTTAGCCTGTCTAAAATAGCCACTAGTCTGTGTTCTTATATTTTAATAGTAGCTTTGTTTATTTACTAGTGCTTTCTTCACAGTCCTCTTTCTTTCCAACCAGTCTTAATATAGAGAAAAAAGAAAAGCACAGTGTTGGGATTTAGAAACCTTATAGTTTTGCTCACCATAAGCAAGTTGCTTAAACTCACTAGGCTCAGATTTCCCCATTCTATTAATATAAAGAGAGACAGAGACTAGATTGTCTCTTTCTTCCAGCTCAAATTACTAAGTCTTTCCTGTTGTTTGATATCTAGGAAACAGTACTTGATGCCCCACTTGGAAGATCCTTTTCCGAAGTTAGCCGAGCTGCTAAGTTCTAGGTGAAGAATTCTTGATTTATTACAAGGTTTAGAAGGTTTCCTTTGATTTTTCCCATTTTCTTACTAGAATTGGACATCCTTTTCCATAAAAGTACCTTTTATGAATTATCCCCTTTCTTAGCAAGGTAACTTGGAATGTTGAGCTATATTTAGACACACATGCACACATTTACACTCTTGTATGCTGATATGAATGCACTCTTCACATTAATAACTGCATTGTGTGTTTTCATAATTTATCATAATGATACCATTATTGCTTATTACAGAATTTCTCTTTTCCCCCCACCCCCAAGCCTAATTGAGGTCGAGACAGCCCATAAATATGATAATATAGATTGCATGCTCAGAGGAAATGGAGTTGGTTTCATACTGGAGTTTTAATTTAGGATTCGTTCTGGTGATGTAGCCTCTTCCTATGGTACATTACTTTGAGCTCAATATAACTGCATGTTCCCACAGCCCCTCATTATAGCTATGGCTTCTCATTGCTTTTTAATTAAAAAAAAAAAAAGAGGGAAAAATGAAACCCAAAGCTTAGGTTGGATATTGTCTGGGTATGCAGGGAGCATCCTAGGCAGATTGCTTATTTAATTTTTTAACTCCTTCAAAGCTTTCATGAAGATGTCTTGATTTCTGTTTTCAGGGGCATGGATGGAGACACATACACACACATGCAATAGGCCTCAAGATTATTGGCATGTAAAGGCATCTCTCTATTACCGTGAAGCCTACTCTGAGCTTTGAGTGAGTGGGAATCCTTTATCCTAGAAAGGCTACCAGCTGTGTGGTTGGATGGTGGGAAATGCTTAGTGAGCTTTTATACCACTCACCGCCTATTGGGAGTAAGGCAGGGAATTGTAGAAGATTGTAAAAACCCTTCAAGGCTGATGTTTAGAAGTTAAGAGTTAATCATTTTTTCTCTAGTCCTGTGGGCAGCAGAAGCAGAGAAATGACTTTATTAAGAAGAGTTGCTTTTGTCATTCCTTCATCTTGAGGGATTCCAAACACCTTTCAGATACCAAAACAAATTAATCTCCAAAGGTGACTGGTAAGAATGGCTTAAGCCTCTTGGGATTGGTTGTGTAAGACACAGGGAGAGCTCGACCTGAGCTGTTGACCTCTGTGACAGCCTGTAAGTGTTACATTCTTTTTGTGGATCAAGAGCCCTTTGGCTTCACTTTAGTGAAAGCAGTGTGACAGCTCTGAGCTGCTTCCTTGCTTACAATTCTTGTTTTGTTTTATATAACCAGCCACTCTCTCAGTGGTGAATATTGGGTAAATATAAATTAAGAGTTTATTTCTTGGTTAGGGTACTGAGTTAGCTTCATAATTTTTAGTGCGACTCTTTCACAAACAGGACTTCAACTTTTTGAGTCCATATTTCATTCGATGTTGCTGGAAAGGCAAGTCCATTTTGACTTGTATCAGGGAGCTGGAACC